AACTTGCAGCTGTCACATTAGCTCTCTTTTTGAAGTCCTTCCTGCTTAACTCTTCCTGCAGGAAGAAGCCACAGCAGTGAGCTTAAATGGCCACTGAAAACGCTGCTGTTACAGTCCAGACGACCACGAAACTCTTATATCGCTCAATGTGTGCAGACCAGTTTTGGATGTAACTACAGGAAGTAAATGTGGACTTGCACACCTGACAATGTGGCCCAGATTTGGATTGGATTGACTGGTGTCGACCATCTTTACATCAGATTATTGGTGAATGAACTGCACACAGACTGTTTCACTTTTCAGACCTGAAAGCTACAGCCATGTTTTTGTCCTGCTTTTTATCCTGGGGGCGTGTACGCCATAGTGGCTAATGTTGTTTGTATCTATACTTGAGTCTGCACTGCTGTGCCATCACAAGGGAACTGAGCTGTTGATGTTGGACTTGGAGGTGATCCAAGTGAGTCTAAATGTGTACAGACAGAGCCGAGAAAAGGAAAAATACACATCCTCTACAGTGGAAGAATACTTTATATACTGAGTGAGTATTTTGAGCGAGATGATACAGTTACAGCTGGTGACATTATGTTTAACAGGGGCATTATCCTTGTTGATGACTGGCTGACCAAAGCATCCAGGCCACGGGACGGCTTTGCAAACACAAAAGACAAGTTGTAGACAAGTTATTCATTTTTTCAGTTTTTCTGCTGCTCCCGATGATGCCTGGGGTGTAAAAACTGCCCAACCAATCAGGTGGTCAGGAGTAAAAGGACATTTTGTGTTTCTTGTTCAGACATGAACATGAGCGGGGGACTTGTTGTAAGCCTAATTATTAAAAAATTGACGTCTCATGACATCTCAGTAGCGGTGTCCTTGGTTCAACCCCCGGGTGGGGGGAATTTTGTTGCACGTCATGGCCTTTCTCACCCACGTATTCACTTCCTGTCCGCCTCTGCACCAAGAGCCCAAATAAAGAGAAAAATCTTTGTCTGATGACAGCTCCTTTAAAGAAGTTGTATGATTTATGAATTCTAAACTTATAAGTTGACTCACTGACACGTCTGTGTCTGTGACTGCAAAATGCTGATAAGGTTATGAGTAATACATACCCGGGGAGCTTCTTATCAAGAGCCTGACAACCCACTGTGATGAATACATGTTAATGTTATAAATAAATACATGATGAATAAAGACAGAGCGCAAAATAAAACAAACTTCTTTGCTTCTCTAGATTCGTGCCAGTACTGTAGACAGAAAACATCACATTAACTGAAATCAGCCTCCTACGCTCACCATCATCTGACCTCTGATCAAGTGACACCCACTGCTAATTTCTTTTAGAATTTCTGATGAGCTGATATGTGACTTGATGTGTGTCTTTTTCACTAAACATGAATGAACTGATTTGAGCTCCGCTGAGGAGGAGGAGAGGCTCCCTGGGATCAGTGCGATCTCATCTGAGTAAAATCATAAAATCAAAATCTTTTCCAGGAAGAAAAACAAATAGGATTTCTTCTTCATTCAAGCAGAATGAAGCCAAGTGCTTTTAAAAAAGGACTCGAGTAAATTATTAATCCGGGTCTCCTCCGCCTGTGCCATCCTAGCCCACTTTTCTTGGCACTTTGGGGGAAGCACACTGACTTGTTGCTCTCCATGACACTTCCCAGGCCATACATTATACATGCAGCTATTCTGCACAGATCATGCATACTCGTCATCACAGCCATGAAACTGGAGCTGCTGTACTGTGAAAGTCTTGAGCCACCCATTATTTCTTTATATTTTGCTACCAAGAAGCCAGACTCTGCACCGTTTTTGTTTTTAATTGGTTTAGAGCAGCAGATCTCCAGACTTTCTGAAGGTCTTCCAATTCTTTTTTTTAGACATTGGCTTGAAGCCTCGTCAGAAATGGTCTCAGTGGCTGCCAAGAAGCCATTCTTAAGGGGGAGGCTCTGTTGGACATCTTGTCAATATCAGTGAAAACGAATGCAAGAAGGCACCATCAGATTTTGATCCACCATACATTTCCATCTGGAAAGCATTTGATTGGCATCAGCTTCATTTTTCAGAATGACAATGATTCCAAACTGACTGCCAGTGCAGTAAAATCATACTGGGATAAAGAAGCATACAGTGGAATGCTATCAGTCATGGATTGGCCTCCCCATTCAAAGAAGAGCTTTGAATGTCCTTCAAGAAGTCTGGAGAACTATTCCTGAAGATTATTTCATGAAATTATAAGAAGGCTGCCTCAGAGAGTTCAGGGTGTGCTGAAGAATAAAGGTGATCATACTAAATATTGACATTCAAAGTCATTAGAATTGGCAAGAACGCTGTTTTCACCTTAAATCCTGTATTTTCATGTGTGTTGGCATGTATCTGAATAAATCACTGCAGCTATATCAACAACATATCAAGAAATGAGGGGTGGCTCAAGACTTTTGCACAGCACTGCAGGTGATGTTTTGTGATGTATTCAGGGTTAAAAACAGCTTAAACACTTAAAATTTCTAACACTGTTTTTAATGCCACGTCACAGCTGACACAACCAGAGAAAATTACATCATTTCCTTCAGGTTGTTGGGTGTTTTTGGTGCGTTTAGATGCGACAAGTAAAGAAAGCTCTGCTAGGTTTTTCTTCATCCTCCACATCTCATATCACAGAGAACGAGGCCATTTATGTTTAATTTCAAGTCCTATGTTGTAATGGAGCTGATGGAGGGAGGCGCAGTTCATCAAACTGTCATTTTCGCTCACAATTCTGGCTTCTAGTCCATCAACAAACACCGTTTTGTCTGGTTTCACACATTCTCCTTCACTTTTGTCCCTCCATAAAAGTCCAGATTCACTCCCCAGCAGGCCGTGGCAGGCTGACATCACTTCTTATTAAGATATTTCATTGATTTTATAATTAAAGTTAATGGAAATTCACTTAATTAAAGAGACATACCTGTTTTTTAATTAATCCAAAGTCTGTTAAGTAACCATGTTAAATAATCTCCGGGAACACCATAATCTGGTGTTAAGTTCTTACAGTCTCTTATAGTCAGCACAAGAAACAAGTAAGAAATAAGGTCAGCTTAAAGCGCCGCACTGAAAGGACGCATTAGACTTACAGTGATGATGTGTGTCACTGTCATGTGCATCAATCATACGTTCCCTGAGATGGCACTCAGTCATAAACACAGCTGCACATTAATACAAATGTAATATAGATGGAGCTTTTGTACTGCAAGCATCATTCACCCATTCATACACACACATTCTATGCCTAAGCTCATTTAACCTAACCTCACACACTCCAACCAATGCACTGGAGGCAACTCAGGGTTCAGTATCTTACCCAGCGATACTTGGTCATGCAGAAAGGCCAGACGTCACTGGACTTAAACTCCATCTCTCTGCTTGCTAGCAGAAAGTGCTGCTGCTTTCAGTAACCTGCATTTTGGATATTTTGATTGGTGCGTGACCAGAGCCTGACAACCAATCCTATTGGACTAGAGCGAGCCAGTCAGTCTTACAATGAGAGCTTTGTTAGGACCAGCGGTGGAACAATCAAGTATTGATGCATTTATTGTAAAGCTTTAGTTCATTTTTATTTAGCAGGCTTAAAAATATATGATGCTGTATTATTTTTAGATAAAGTTACCCAGCAGTATAAACAGTAAGTAAAATCATCTCCAGATGCAACATTAAAGCGATATTCACATGAATGAAAATCTGATTATGTTGTGTATTTGCCTCTGCGTAAAAGAGTTTTTAACCTCCACAAAAAGGAAAAACACCCAGACTGTGGTTTTAAAAATATTAACTGGATTTTTAAAAGTGGGTTTAATTTACAGAAGAATGAAACACAAATTTGTTTATTCAGTGGTGGGAAATAATTATACATTCTTCTTCTGTCAAGCAAGGTAACAGACTTACTGCTTCAACAACATATGGACCAATCTTTCTTATATATATCGCCTCTGTCAGTGCGCCCCAGGGTGGCTGTGGCTACAATGTAGCTTGCCATCACCAGTGTGTGAATGTGTGTGTGAATGGGTGGATGACAGGTTGTGTAAAGCGCTTTGGGGTCCTTAGGGACTAGAAAAGCGCTATACAAATACAGGCCGTTTACCATTTACCATATTCATGTATGTAGGGTACTTTTACTTTTGGTACTTTAAGTATAATTTGGTATTAATGTATCTGTGCTTAAACAGGGACTTCTAGGTAAAGGGTCAACATGCTTCCTTTCACAAAAGTACCTTACAAAAAGTACTTATCAGAGGTACTTTTGAAAGGTACTTTTTCTCATTACCTGAAAACTTTCACCAGCAGGGGGCAGCAGTTAACATCTAGTGCAAAGATATTTCTGATCTGCTGCCGCTTTTTTAAACGTTTAATATTTCCTTTTAACTCTGCCCAAATTTCCTCAAGAGTAAATTGTGAAACAAAAATAATGATTTGTCTGGTTGACTCACTACACCATCTAGTGGTGCTAATTTGCATGGCATAAAAGTACAGCCTGACCCTAGTTCACCTTCAGTAGGTATCTCTTCAACACAGTACAAAGATGTTTTGGATATAAAGTCTTAGCAACCTTTTTTTCATATTCTTGAGCTTTAAATACTTATGCAGCTTCTTTTTGAGTAATACACCCATATGGAGGCTCAGGGGGCCTGGAAATCATATTAAATGTTCTCCACTCTTCTACAGTTTATTTATTTCTGATCAAATATCCTGATTCAATGTTCTCATTATTTAAAACATGCGTATTTTAGAGATTTTAAAATTGCACTATACGATTAACATCTTTTTAATTTTAGGACTTTAGAGCCTGGTGTGAGACATCCTGAAACCTATAAGGCCTCATTTTCAGATTAATGAATTCAAAACCTTGTTAATTTTTAAGAATCTGCAGGAAGCCTGGTATTTAAACACACACTCACACACAGACACACACAGAAAACCAATGAGCATGACATTTCAGCGCGCAGGTCAGTGCTGTGCGTCCTCACCCTTCCAGCTGCTGTGCGTATCCACGGAGACAGATGTCAGCAGAGGCAGCAGGCTGAGCGGCGACCGCCGAGGTCCAGAGCATCCCTGGTCTGCCTCACATCGGCAGACCACCCGAGGAGGAGCAGTGCCGCGATTCCACGATCTCGGTCAGAGTCATCCTGAAGAAGGACGCAGACATCACAGGCCCGCATGGATCCTAACATCCAGCCGCAGTCGCAGCATCCTCCTCCTCCTCCGTCTGCAGCTGCTTCGGATGCAATGAATTCCACCGAGACTCAGACGGGAGCAAATCCATGAGGTTCTCTCATCCACGCTCGACGACGGCTCTCTGCTGCTGTATGAGAATCTAACTGCATCAAGCATCAGTGAAAGACTGCCTCCTCCTCTTCCTCCTCCTCCTCCTCCTCTCCCTGCCTCTGCCTAATTCACTGCTTTATCGCTCTATTTCTGTCTTTCTCTAATGCTCACCCATATTTCCACTTCACTGCGCCCTCTTCCTCTCTCTCTCTCCCGCTCTTCCTCTCTAATTCTCAGCTGTGTCTCAGCGCTCCGCTCAGCCTGTGCCCAGAGGATGTTGAACATGTGTTCAGGATGGGGGTTGGGGGACTAATGACTTCATAGGTGGCACTCTTACTTCTCCCACTGATAGGTTAGGGAGGACGGCACCCTGCGCTAACTGTTTAAAGATAAAAATCAGAGCCTGGCCTCTTTTTTTTTTCCCGTCTTTGTAAACGTTCCTATATTTGAAGCAAACACTTGCTTAGATGAGATTAACCATGAGGCTGAAGGAAATCTGTGGAAGGACAGCTCTGCAGGAATGAAATGAGAGGAGGGATGAGTGAGCCACAGTACTCCACGTTATAGAAGAGGAGCAGAGGGGAAAGGGAAGATGTGGGAGGCAGAATAAAAATGGACAAACAGTGGAAAGAGGGAGGGGGGAGGAGAAAAGAGAGCTTTGGAATATTTATAGAAGACTGAAGCGGAGAAATAAGCTCTATTTCTGTGCTGTGACACCCGGTTGCATCTCGGATGATACACTGTCAGGCTAAGTCAAATCAAAGGCATCCTATGGTGCCTCTGCAGCAGCAAGCAAAGAGAAATTTGCCTTTATTTCGAGCAGATTACACATTTCGTTCAGGCTTCGGTGGCAAAGCATCTCTGATTCCGGGATCTGCAGACGGAAGAGTGCTTAATCAAGGAAATGATGGCCTTGTGACAATCATGAGAGCCGCTTGACTGAGTCACAAAACGAGGTTAATGTGGGAGGGAGAAGAAGGGGGTGCACAAATATTAAATCCAAATAAAAAATCCTTTCCCTGTTAACCGAGGAGGAATGAGTCAAAATAGATTCAATGTTCCAGACACGTCACTCTGACTGCAAATTTAAAAACGTGCGTTCATACGTCTGTGTGTGTGCGTGTGTGTGGAGAACAGGATACCTCTGGGCTTATGCTGTGACCTAGATAAGGCCTTGATGCTCCCAAGTCTGTCAGGCAGAGTGTATCCGAGTGTGTGTGTGTGTGTGTGTGGCATCCCATAGAGTAAATGCATGTGTGTCTAAATGCAGAAGAGAGAGAGAGATGAAACGAAGCTGCACGGCTGCGATGCCTGTGTGACTAAGAGCCTCAGCTGGATGACATACAAATGGGTGACCGTTCACACAGCAAGAAAGCTAATCCAAACACACAGGGATACAAAAACTGCAAGTCTTCAGCCTCTCGCTGCAACCTTACATCACATTGAATGCAGAAAACCTGCAAAATTACACAACATAACGAAAGCATAGTAAACTCAAGCCCTGATGCCAAAGCTCGTCCCTCTCCGTGCAAGACTCAGTGAATCACCCCTCCACCGTTTGGGTGTAAAGCTTAACAGCTTAGCGCCCACTATGGATGTAGATTAGATTGTTACGGGCTCTTAGATTTCCCTTCCATATGGCATAAAATTAAACACTTCTGAGGCTTTTTACCTCCATATAGCCCAGATTAATATAACATAATGAACCAAACCCATACCCCCTTCACTCTATTACTCTGCAGCTATTCAGTGCATTATGTAAAAATGACAGGAATCATTTCGCCCCAGTTAATTCTTGACCTGTCCTCTGGCCAGATTTGTCATTAAAGGGTTAATCCCGTGCAGCAGGAGCTCTGAAAATTTAACGAAAGGACAGAAAACTCGGTATGCTTTAAACGGGCGCGGGACAAAAATAGCCGTTTCTCACACAGATGGCGACTCTCCCACAGAGTCACGCATGGCAGAAAAAATGATGGGAAAAGACTCATCAGCAGAGACTCATCAGTAAACACAAGCGTCCTATTTGCTCCAAACAGGATATGACACATATGCATGTGGAGAGCGCTGTCTCCAATTTCACTCTGGAGAGCGACACGCTCAAAATGTCACCGTTTTCACTCTTTGGCAAGTTCAGAGACTTTGAAGTAAATACTCCCAAAGCAGGAAGGCATTCAGAGGTCAGGTGTGTTATTCTACACAGACTCTTGAAAAAAAAACAACCCACCAAAAGTATAAAAGTGGCAGTAACTCATAAACGGTTCAACACTCCTGTCAAACTCGTTGAATTAAAGTTGACATTCTGCACTTCAATCACATGCTGTTTGGTTGATTTAAAATCTACTTATGGAGTTACATAACTGTATGTCTTCTTCTTCTTTTGGTGACTCCCTTTTAGGGGTCACTGCAGTATTCCTATCATACTCCTCTGATCCACCAACCATCCACATGCCCTCCTTCACTACATCCATGAATCTTCTCTGAGGTTTGCGTCTTCTTCTCCTGCCTGGCAGCTCCATCCTCAGCATCCTTTGTCCAAACCTTCTCAGCCTTGTCTCTATAACTTTGTCTGTCGTCTACCAACGTCACAGTTCACAGACGCTAATGCCTGACCTTACCCGTCGACCTGTCCATCATCTCTGCAAACAAGGAACTCAGAGCACCCTCACCTTTGACCCCATCCGTCATTCCAACTCCACTGCACTCTATGTGAACTTGTGAAAAAAATACCTAAGAAAAGCATCAACTGTTAAACTTTTTATTAAATGTGATGTTTTTAGTCTAAAGGTAATCACACAAACTGATCAGTCATCACTCAATGTTTCAGTTTCCCTCGGTGAGTTTATCTGTTTTTTCAGTTCTTCTGACTGACTTTTTTGCTCATTTATTTAACAGGCACCACAGCGAGGAGTCACAAAATAGTGACTCTGTAGGTCAAACTGGGAGGAGATGATGCACCAGAATGCCTCATGTTTTATTAATAAAGTTTAGTGTATTGATGACATATCACAGGGAGAGGAATATGATATATTGCTATATCAGGGGTTCGTCCTGCTCTGGGGAAACACAGAGGTTCATAAATCTAAATCTGAGAACCCTGAAAGTGAAGACCTCCTGACTCAAACATTACTTCAAATAGAAAAACTATTGATGCTATAAACTGTATTTGTGCAGCGGTAGAACATAAAGCAGCACCGGTGGTACCTGAGGGCTCAATAACAGTCAGTTTCCATGGTAACGGAGGCAGAATCTATCACAAATTATCGACTTTAGTTTTTGTTTTCACATGCGGATCCTGCGCTGCTCTTTCCAGAACTCGGCAATCCCCTGAGACAGAGCATACTCTGCTAGGCCCCTGCAATCACGGGGGGTGAACCCCACCAAGGCCGTGCCCTTCATGCTGACCCCCTGTCTCCCTGCCAGCTCGGCGACCCTCGCCGTGATGAGGGAAGCCGGAGCGTGACAGTACGACTCGCCGCCGATGCTGAAAGACGGCCAGGGTTCACCTGCGGTGAGGTGATCTGGCGGGGTCCCCTTCACGCTTTCCACATTACAAGCGATTTCCACAGCGCCCCCGTGTGGTAGGGCCAGCACCTGCACTCCAGGCAGGCCTCCCGGCGTCGACTCCCTGATGGCTTTGGCGATGCTGCGCCCCAAAGAGACGTCCTGGGTGTCAATTGTGACATTGCAGTTCATGACGTAGGGACCTGCCCCGACACCTGCAGGAGATCAGACAAATCGGAACTAAAGGAGCTTCTTTAAATCAATAACAACATTTTTTGCAGATTTTTACTAGTGAGACAAAAGTTGCATAGCAATCCTCTTCCTTCTGAAGTCTTATTCACATTCAGAAACAGATTGTTCTACTAGTGCTCTGCAGTCCTCAGCCCTAAAAAATGGTCAGAGTGGCAGAAGCTGTACTGAAAGCTGAAGAGGAATGGACACAGCACAGTCCCCCGTGTCAGACAGAGCACTGCCCAGTCTTACAGGCTACATGTCTATCAGGTGGTGTGAGGTGAGCCAGGACTAGTCTCTCCAGCTCTGCATCAGATGTGAAGTGAGGGCAACTGGTTGACAGTCATTTTTCTTGGATAGTGACGACTTCTTTGGTACATGTAGTTCACCAGATGTTCTCCGGAACACTATGAATCCTCGATCTCCTGTCTTGTTTGCCTCCAGTAAATTATTTTTTTTCTTTACAAATCCAGCAGTGCTTATAATAGAGACTAAATGTTGCAAAGGCAACAACAGGATACCTCGGCTGTGTGAATCTGATGCTTAACACCTTTTAGTTAGATTCAGAATGTGCTAACAGGCTCAGTGGCCTGACTTTTTTTTAATCTGGTAACACGTCAATGTTATTTTTTTTAGCTGTGAGAACTTTTCAGATTTTTCCTTTCAAAGGTCAGAATAGAGAAGGGAGACAGCCTGTGGTCAGACTAACAAACAAACAAAGATAAAGTCACCTGTGTTGTGTAATCACACCAAAGAGACACTCTAACCTTCATTACCTGCTACCTCTGGCTCACCTGTGAGGCCGAATCGTTTCTGTGGCTGCGGCCCCACGTCGGCCCTGATCGCCCGCAGGTCTGGCGTCTTCTTGAACCAGCCCATCTCCTTCCTCCTGTGCGCCAGCCCTCGCTGTAAGGGGAAGTCTGCCCAGCCAAACAGGAAGGCACTGGTGCCCTGGACCCTCTCTGTAAGTCCCTGAGCCACAGCTGAGCCCAAGCAAGAGCACAGACACATTTCAGCTGACTGGCATACGGAGTGCAGGTCATCACGTGCACACAAATTCAGAAACGCAAAGGTGCAAAGACCGTGACGGACCAAAACACACCCGCGGGAATGTAATTCAGACGGATGGAAAATACGGACACATGGGCTGCTTATTACATGCATGCATGAATACAGTGCTTGTTAGTGGGTTGGCCAATTACCATTTTTCAATCACACCACACAGATTAGCATACAGAGTGCAGTCTGCAGGCATGAGGGCAAAGTGTTGAGTTATTGCTCATTATCAGATAGACACATGGCTGCGAAGTCAGCTGGTAAACTGTGAAAGTAATCAACAGCCTAAGAAAATAGAAAAGACGTCACATTATCAGCTACATGCAGGTGAGACATGCTTGTAGAGACACAGTGGATGAGCTCATGACCGAAAATGTACTGAGGAATAATAAAAACTACACACACCCTGCTGAATATGTCTGTGAACACACATTGAGAATTTATTTTAAGTCACATGTGATATTTGTCTAAAGAACTAAAAATAAATTACGAGCACTGACAGCCAGTGAGGATTTAAAATATAGCTGTGATTCCCAACCAGGGGTACATGTTAGATAGGATTTTAGGGTTATGTGGGAAGTTGTGTTCAACTAATCTAAAAAAAAAATGCAATAACAAGTAGATCTTAAAATATTTTACTGGAAAAGTTAGCAGCGGTAGCAACAGGGTAACTCAAATATATAAATGATTTAAATAGGTAGATAAATAAATAGTTAAATAATGACTGGAAAGAAAGGGAGAAGGCTTGAATTTATAAAATAACAACTAAACCTTTGAGAAGTTTTCATATAATAAACAAATTCAAATTTTAAACAAATATAATGCATAACTGTTGAAATAACTCACCTGGCTAACAGTATGGAAACCTTTTTTTAGCTAAACCACTAGCTAAAAAAGCAAGGCTAGCAGTTAAAATCATTAGCCAAAAATGTGCTGTTAGTAAATAATTAGAATTGCTTTTTAAAATTATAACGAAGGGGGGAAATATCCAACTATTAACTTTTGAAATAGCTAAATAATAATTAGGTTAAAGGGCTAGCAGTTGAAAATGTCATCTTAAAATGTATACTAACAAATAAAATTGTTAGCTTAACATGACAGACAAATATTTTAAATGGGTAAAAATTATAAATGAAAAGTTTTAAATACTTAGCTAAAGGATATCTAGCTAAAAGTTGAAATTATTAGCTAAAACATAATTAAATGATGTTAGCTAAACAGATAAATAAACTATGAAACTACAAGCTTACTAGCAATTAAAAACATACGATAAAAGTATTGATTAATTGAAATAGCAAAACAAAAACTATGAATGAAAGTAGGGTTAGCAGTTGAATATTAAAGGGTTAATAAACACAGGAATTATTAGCTAAAAGTATGAGTAGTAGTGGAAATACTGCATTTCGTTGCCCTGTACCTGTGCATGTGCAATGACAATAAAGTTGAATTCTATTCTATTCTATTCTAAATTTTTAGGTGAATTAATGGAGAAACTCAGAAGGTTAGTCAAACAATAATTAGTTTGAATGAACACTTCATTTGATGACGGGGTATTTAAGGAGGGTACAGTGTTTCAGGGGTACATTAACTCTCAGGAACACTGTGAAACACATACCGAGCGCCTCTTTAGTACAGTCCTCTGCCCTCACCTCCTCCCCCAGTGGGTAGATGGGTATGAGGTCAACAGCGCCCATGCATGGATGGACTCCTGTATGAGTTTGCATGTCAATCAACCCACACGCCTTCTCGCATGCACACAGGATCGCCTCCCCTGGAAAACATTAAAAAACACCACCAAATAAAAGCTGCAAACTTTGACTGCTTTCACTGTTAAGGCTGTCGTGTTTCGAACAAGGATTCGTAGAAATGATTTTTTTCTCTGTGATCCTTGTTAGAAAAAGGTTCTTACTGGGGTTTTTTTTATGTGTCTTTAAATCCCTCACAAAGCTTATTAAAGGATTGGAAGCTGGAGCTGAACCCATTCATCCATCTCTCAGGAGCAAGAGAGTGAATATGGAACATGTTAGAAGCACAAATACAAAGAGGACTTACTGATCGAGTCGATGCTGGACACAATAGTGATGACAGAGCGGTTGTAGTCATAATCATTAAAGATGTTTAACACCGTGGTCCCCTCACGCCTCACACCTGAAGCACAATAACGACAATACATGTGAATAAATGTCTAATAACAGGTTATATTTTACAGGTAAAGGGCAAATTTAGTGCTTAGAGTAGGGTGGTTATCTGATTATCATCTTGCGCCATCATGGATGACATAACTGCGTACAGGCAGTGATTTTACAGCTAAGAGTTGGGTATATGTAGTGGCTTGCCCTTCAAACTGAGGCTGTAAATAGTTTACCAGCAGTTAGCTCGTGTTGAAATTCAAACTTTTTTTTCCGCTGGTACCTTGAACTCACCTTCAGTATTGTACAACGCTGCTTTGGCCACCGTCTCCACCAGATCCTTCCTGCGAGCTTCAGAAACATTGAGGAGACACGCCACCAGTCTCCTGCCCAAAGAGCTCGAGGCCATGCTTTATCAGGTATGCAGAACTGGGAAAGTAGAAATGCAGCCACTCATTAGATGAAAATTTGAATGTGTAACCAATAAAACGCAATCATGGGAAAAAGAAAGTCCATATTCTTTCAATTCCAAGGGTTCATATATGAGAACATTTTAAAAATCCTTAACATTATTTACCAGTTTCAGATGACCAACTCTATCTGTCAGACAGATGGCTTCACATTTCACTCTACAATACTTTGGTATGCCGAAGAGTTCATGGTCAACTCAGGCCAACCCTCCACCACTGTGCTTGACAACTGGTACAATTGGTACGAGCTAAAAATGGCTGCATTAGTTACATTTTAAAATTTGTAATTATCCCAGCATGTATCAAAGTACCAGCCAGGTGACATTTTCCCCATGTTTTTGCTGTTGCACCCACTTCTTTGAGCTCATTCCTGTGAGAAGTTCAGGAAATACTGTTTTTATTTCAACTGTTTGATGATAAATGGTACAGTTCATAGAGCTGCATCTTCATCCCATCAAAAAATGAAGCAGTGAAATAATACTTTTGATTTTTAATGCAATTCTAAGTGTAACATGGATACTCAAGCAGCAACAGAATACGTACATGGGCTATGAAAAGTTCTCCAATAAATATAAGCTGCTGCACAGTGTGTTTAAAAGCTGAAGTTACCTTCCAGCAGATGAATGGAACTCTTCTTATGTGCAGAATGACCTTGATTGGTTTAAATGGTTAATTATCAGTCATATAATTATTCAGTGCGGTTTATAGGAATTATTAAGCCGAGTGGCGGTGCAATGGTTTACCCATTGTGTCTGCACAGCTGTTTGCACAGCTGTAGAACATGTACAAAGTCCAGCCTGGTGTAAACTATTTTGCTGTGTTATGCAGGCGGAACCAAACATGTCAGTGGCACACTTGAAGTATGTGCAGCGTTTATAAGGAAAAGGGGGCAATATAAACTATTTCTGCGGGAAAACACTCACTTTGCACTCGCTTCAGCGCAGCCGCTGGGAACCCACCCACATCAAGATCCACGGAAAGGTAAACACGTTCATTTTATGTGTTCAGCTAAACTTTGGAAGTCTCAGCACAAGATGGTTCCACCCCGATCCCAACCATAGACATTTTGAGATGTGTTTATGTATGTGCGGTCCTCGTATGTATTTTTTTTTTAAATAAAAAAGGTCTGGGGTGTAAATATTTTTTCCTGGACATGCTGTTACCTACTTATTATTTTTGGAAAATAATACAAATTCCATAAAATTATGAAAACATTCGAAAAAAAATTAATTAGTGGTTTAATCAGTGTCAATTTTATTTATGTTTTATATCCATAAATATCCTCGGCTCACATCGATGACAGTTCACGTTTCTCACCACAAACGTGGTGTTTTATACGATTGCTTTGTTCTTCCCTTGGCGTCGTTAGACCGCGCGGACGAAAACGGAAATACAAAGGAGGGACTCATCCGATTCCTACCGACGAGAAAACTCAACACATGCGCAGTAGCGCGTACGTTTCCTGTCACTGCAGTCGTTTGTTATTTCGGTGGGTTTGTTTTTGTTAAACAGCGCCTCTTTGTGGACAAAAGGAGACTCTAAAACTGTGACAGTGAAGTAAATCTTGGACGTTTATTCCGCAGGTGTCGTAATGTGAGGCGGGCAGCGGTTGTAGACGCCGTGTAGTTGTAATTGTTTGCGTATAATAAGGCTGTGTGGCCCGGTTTGGCGCTACCCGCTGATAATGTGATGCTAACTGACAGCAGCATGGAGCGAATGCGCAGATGAGGAAAAACGCCAGCTCATTTTCTTATTTTAGAGTCCATGCTAGCCGAACGAGCAGCAGTACTGGACCTGACTTTAATAACTGCGGCCAAAGCGATGACGACGTCACCCTCCGAGCTCCGGGGGCTCCACGCCTCGGCAAGCCGGGATGCACTGTCGGGAACCCCGCTGCAGAAGCTGCAGAGGCTGCCCGCGGTGCCCGGGAACCTCCCCAACCGAGTGAACGACCTGCTGCTCCTGCGGCCTGACCCGGAGGAGCAGGAAAAGAGCAACAACCGGCACGTGGTGTTTTTTCACGGGGATATTCAGGTGAGAGTGATGGAGAAGGTCTCAGGTGGACATGGCTGCCATGGCGAAATTAATCACTGAATACGATTACTGAGGCAGCTCTGTGACACCTCCTGTGTGTTTAATGTTGGAATCAGTCAATGATTTCTTTCAATAAACCAAATAAAAATGCGGGGAGGCCAGTCCATGGCTGATAGTGCTCAATTGTGTGTGATTATGTCCAGGTATGATTTTACTGCCTCTGCAGTGCGTTTTGGATCATTGTCATGCTGAAAAATGAAGCTGTTGCCAATCAGACCTTTTCCCCATGGTATTTCATGGAGCATCAAAATCTGACAGTTCACTTTTGCCGAGAATTCCAACACCACTGGCTGAAATTAAACCATGACAGAGCCTCCGCTTTCTTTTACAGATAGACGCTCACTGTGCCAACTCTCTCCCGATCTCCTCCGTACACACTGATGATGATTTGAACCAAATATTAGGACTTATCACTCCATCAGACCTGTTGCCAATCATTTTCAGTCCAGTTCTTGTGTAGTTTGGCATACTTTAGCCTTTTCTTACACTGAGACATTTCTGATGCGGCTTCAGGCTTTATTCCCCTGAAAATGGTCAGGAAAAAGGACAGGACTCAGCTGTGCTGCTCTTGTTCTGAGATCATGTAGGACCTCTATGTTGCAAAAAGCAGTTGTAAAACTTCTCATTTCTCTCTGTGCAGAACTTCCAGGAGGAGATGGCGCTGCAGCCTGAGGGTGCCCAGTGGCTCTCCTGGAGCCTGGAGAGGGTCGCCTTCACTCTGGGCTGCCGTTTCCCTGATAGACACGTGTGGGTGGTGAGAGCCTCGCGCATGTACCTGCACAAGTTCAGCTGCTACCAGAACTTTGTGGAGAGCAACATGTTCGGGGCTCCGGAGCACTCTCCATACTCTGCTGACTCTGGAGCGTTTCACCACCTCAGGTTTGTCACTGGAGCTCATTTTGTCTTGTTGAGATATTATTTAACTTGATTACTTTGGCTACATTTTATCCGGCCTGTATATCAGTTAAGAATAAATTAAGAAAGGTGTAGAGGCTTAAAAAGCCACCTGCAAGCTAAATCATCTAGCTCACAGATGATGACACAGAAAAGGGCAATTTAATGGTGAACGCGTTTCCCGTGTCTTTTCCCAGTTTTCCAAATTTTATGTTTTTGGAAAACATGACCAGGTCTAAAGGTGTGAAGGACAGGAAAATGTTGCTGTAATTCTTTGAGATGATTTTGGATCTTTTCTCTGAGTCTGAGCAGCGTTTCTGACCACAGGGCCCTGCTGAGCCACGGCATGGAGCGAGCCAGCCTGCCAGACCCGCTCCAACCACAGGGCGGCGCTGACAGCATCCCCTCAGGCTTCTCCTTGACCCTGGTGGGCTTCAGCAAAGGCTGCGTGGTCCTGAACCAGATGGTGTACGAGCTGCCCGGGGCCCGTGCTGATCCGCAGATGTCACCCTTCGTCAAGCACATCTCTGACATGTTCTGGCTGGATGGTGGCCACCCGGGGGGCAGTGAGACCTGGGTGACAGACAAGCAGGTCCTGAAGGAGCTGGCCGGCAGCGGCGTGTCGATCCATGCCCACGTGACCCCTTACGAGGTGTGTGACCCGATGCGGGCCTGGGTGGGCCGCGAGCACGGACACTTCATCAAAACTCTGGAGGAGTTCGGGGCGTGTCCAAGCAAGAAGCTGCACTTCAAGGACGAGCCGCCCTCCATCGAGAACCACTTCAGGGTCATCCAGGAGTTTTGAGCGCTTTATGTGATCTTTGTGTCTTATTGCTGGTCTTACCTCAAACCTTCAGATTTAAGGGCTCAGATGAGTCGGATGCTGGTTTGTTAAACGCGCTAACCCTGAGGTGGGACGAGCTTTCCTCTGTTCTCCACTGTCTTCCTCTGAAAGTCCTTCAGGCTAAATGAAAGCTTTTCCATTTGCTCAGACTTTATGTTGCTGCCGAGCTGCTGGTTAATATCCGGTTAGTTTCTCTAACTCAACTTGTTTGCGTGTTTAGCTGCAGCAGAAAAGCTTCTTACATTCTTTCTATACCTGCACTAGCATTGAGCTCATTTTAGACACATGAATGTTTGAGAATCCGGTCTCCGGGTGGACGTCATCAGCAGGAATATCTGCTGATTGTGTTTTAACTGTAATGAAATAACAAGCAGACACTTAAAATGTTTGAGTTCATTCCTTCAGTTTGATGCTGATGGTGGATTTCCATCAATGACGAGTCAGAAAAAGGACAAAAAAGCAGTTTAGATTTATATTTTTAAGATAAGACACTGCAGGCTAACAGAACTGTTCACTTCTTGAAGCCATTGAAGTTCCAAAACCAGACTTTAAAAAAAAAAAAAAAATCTTAATTAAGATTAATTATCTCACAACGAGTTATGTGTGTAAATTGCAGACTGCTTAAAAAAAAAAGTGCCTGCAGCGTCTCCTCTTAAATCGCTGCAGTACGTTTTATTCTGACACACAGTCACTTCAAGGTGTGTTCACTACGTATTCTGGAGCCGTCACATTTCACATGGTCTTCATCAGCACAGGATGTTCTGCTGATGAAGACCATGGGGTTCATAGGTCAGCTCTGTCATCACGTTTGGAAATCAACTTTTAAACGGTACAACTATAACAACAACCAAAAACTTTCATATTTTACTGTAAATGTTTTTAAAATATCAGATTTTATGTTTTCCTGGAGGAAAAAAAAAGTCCATCTGCACAGATTTGTTTTTTGTTTTCAGTAAAATGCAATAATAAGAAGGAACACTCAGGTGCTTTAGTATTTGGGCAGCGGGGCAGTTTTAGTTTTTTGCTTTGATTAAATCTGAATCGCACCATGTGATTAATCTGTAGATGACAGTTGGGTGCTTCTCTTCTGGCCTGAATTGCTTTGGGGTGAGCTGTACAGATGTCTGTCTTCTTTTAAATATTATGGAACTCTATAAATCACCTATCATATTTTTGGATCTTTGAGTAGGTGGGTCGTGACTCCTCCTTTCAGAGAGGGTGTGTGGGAGTTCTCCACACCAGTCTACATGTGTTTTGTGGACTTTGGGATGGTTTGGCTGGGGTGACCTGTAGGGGGTGTTCCTGGACTCCGGGATATCAGGCACGCTGTTAAAAGCACTTTGGAGCCTGCAGCTGCAACGAGAGCTTGGTTCACTTCTCCATCAATAAGCCAGACTCCCTCAGGGTTGACCTTTGACGCTGATTCTGTTTACAGCTTTCATGAATAGAATATCAGAACAGAGGCTGTGGGGTTTGGTGCTGTGGATGCTGTACTGATCTGTTTTTTGTGAAGAGCGAGCTGATGATCTACACCTACATCCACAAGCTGTGGATGCTGACTGAAAGGTGTCCAGGACACCAGAGGTGGAAATGAGCTTCCTCTGAAGGCTTTGGGCTTTTGGGGGTGTCTGAGTAGAGCAGCTGCTTTGCCACATTTAAAGGCATTGGTTGAGGTGTAGTGGATGTCCTGGATAGCTTTGAGGCCCACGACTGCTTGGATAGATCATGTCTGCTGGCTTGGGTGGTACAGCGAGGATGTGTGGCCTTGGCGTCTTCGTTTAGGTCACACATCCTCGCTGTGACTTAGACCCAAAGAACTGGTAGAAACTGGATGAGTCTAATTAGTGGAAACAGATGTTGCTGTTGGTTGTTTCAAACACTAGAAGGCGAGTGCCATCTAGTTCTAGGTGAAGGTGGACATCTTTACAGCTAATATCTCCAAAACCATCTATGGACCCCCTGTCCAGATACTTTTGGATCTGAATGTATCTCATGGTGGCAGATGTGATGTGTTTTTATGACACTGGGTGGGGAGAAGGACAAAAAAAATCTGTAAACTTGCTTGCTGTGTCCAATTAATGAAGTGGATTATTCCTGTAGGACTTCTGGTAGCTGGCAGGGCAGCATGCACTGTACATCCATCTGTATGATCTCTGTATGAGCTTAAATAGCATCTTTGCACTTTGCTGATGGCTGCGAGTCGTTCTGCTGAATGTAACTTCAGATGCATTCCATTGTTTACTACTCGCTGTATGTTGTGCTGTGTTTTTTTTTGTTTGTTTGTTGTTGTTGTTGTTGTTGTTGTTGTTTTTTTTTTTTAAAAACCAAAAAACTGAGGAGTGGATTTGACCTTTTAAAGGAGATTTATTCAGCTCAGCTCTGATTGGTTTTGTTCTTAGACTCTGTACTGCTGTATGAGTCAGTTAAAATAATCCTTATTTATGTCACATGCTCTCAAAATGTCATTTAGTGGCTGTAACAGTCAAAGAAACTTACTGTCTGGACTATCTCATTAGACGTCCACTGAGTGGGAGTTCTTGAAGCAAATCAATGAAGTATTTAAATATTAAAATGCAAAGCTGAAACAATTCTTCTAACATGGAACAAAGGTCATCAGTTTTTATATAGTTGTTACATGTACCCAACAAATATCCCTGGGAGGGTTGATTGAGGAAGAGTATGTAGGATCAGCCTCTGCTAGTGCCAACTCAGATATGCCGATTGTCCCGCTGTGGTGACCTTTGAACTGAAAGAAGCTCTTAAGGTACTTTGAGCTGATCCATTATATTTAACAAGGCTTGGGACTGGTGCTAAGAGCACAGCAGCTCACATTTGGTCCTCCAGTGTTTAGCTCCATGGTGCAGTGGTCATGATATCAGCTTCCATATATGAGCCTTTATTAGTCTTTGTAGCCCGATTCCTACCATTCACACTGATGGTGGGTAAATGGTAAATGGCCTGTATTTGTATAGCGCTTTTCTAGTCCCTAAGGACCCCAAAGCGCTTTACACAACCTGTCATCCACCCATTCACACACACATGGGTGACATAAAAACCCTATAAAGATAATGATGTATATTAAAAGGTTAATATGAAGTGTTTGAAACATTTTTAATCGGCATCCACTGTTGTTGGGGTGCGTGCGTGCGTGTTTGACAAAAATATGTAAAAACATAACATATCAGGACCCCTTTAGAGCAGTGTTTCCCAACCGGTGTGCTGTGGACGATTATCTGGTTCTACCCGATTAGTAAGTCAGCGGTCCTCAACCTTTTTTGCGCCACGGACTGGTTTATGCCCACAATATTTTCACGGACCGGCCTTTAAGTCGTCGCGGATAAATACAACAAAATAAAACTAGTACCTGCTCTGATTAAATGGGTTGACAATTCCTAGTAAAACAGAAGGAGAAATTAGTCACGCTGTAAGACTGTGCAGTGCAAAATAGCAATAGATAAATATTTGAAAGGGAAAAAGTCTATCTGAGATGAGTCCTGGAGAAAGTTCTGACCCAGATGAAGGCCCTAGCATGACTAGTGGTCAGAAGAAAGCAAAAAAGGTATACTGGGGACAAACTGAGCCAATTCCACTATACCTGGTGGGCGGGGAAAAATTATCAATATGCTTTTTGTGACGTTTGTTTGTTGGTGTGCGGTGTGATTTTTCTAATGTGAAATATGTACTGTGGCTCCAAAAGGTTGGGAAACACTGCTGAGAGTTACTGAGCTACTGGTTTCCAGTCTGTGCCTGCTCACTGGTACATACTGACACAGTATGACCCAGTATGAACTCTCAGCTCTGCAGGGCCAACAGGGGGCAGCGTGGAGCTGGAAAAACATCAAAGCACAGACACCATTTATTTTCTACAGTCTTTAATGAGCTTTTCCAGTTTGCTTTGTGATGCCTAACATTAGCCTGAAGCTAATCAGAATACAAATTATTTTTTAGTTATTTCAGATGCAATCAGAACGCTCATACTTTAAAAAACCCAAAACATAAAAAGCAGAATAAAGGTAGATCTGATTTATTTGTGCTTGTGGCAGGTTTCATTCTGACATACAGTAATCCTTCAGTCTCAAGACAACAAAGAGGAACGCTGAGTGACATCAGCGGCACTGACACAAAGAGCGCTCGCACACTCCGAGGCCGCCAAGTGACGCGAGAACAACAGCAGCTGTACAAAAACAACACGACGGTTACAGCAAGAGTCTGACGGAGACAATGGTCCAATGGAGCGTCGGCACCAAAGTGACGTCAGACCCACCTGCTCTGCAGATTCAACCAACTCCAAACCTTTTATTCTCAGAGCAGATGGATTCAAGCTTATTTCCGTTTACAGCAGTCTGCTCTTTTACAGTGTGGCGTTCCAGTTATAAAGGACGACAGCACGGCCCAGCCTCCACACACACACACAGATACAAAGGCCTTTGTGCTGACAGCAACAACAAACACACGCAGTGTGGTCCCGTTCGAGTTTGGCACCTAAAAATAAAACCAGAGGAATGTTTTCTCTGGAGGTTGAGAGCTGCCACTGTCTGAGGTCAGGATTTGTTGCTGGTGGCACCTCGGCTCCTCTGTGAAATAGTCATCCCTACTTTCTCATCACCTCTCCACAACTTAAAGCAACCATCAGGAAATACTTCTTCCCACACTCACTCTTCCTGTTTAATCACCTCTTTCCTCTCTAAAAACCATCTGACACCTCTCTGTTTCCCCACATTGACTTCACTTTCCTGAACCACCTCAATGACTAATCCTTCCTTTCATCATCACCTGAATCTCTGCTTATAAGACACGTGAGCGCATTATTTACATAAAAAATAGAAGTCCAGCACATAAATATTACAATAATTATAATAATAATAATAATAATCAGCTTGTGAGAATAACATTAAGAATAGAAAACAAAGAGTGAGCAGCAGCCCTGAGATGAAATCTTGAGGCACCCGGACCTGCGGAGGACTGCAGGAGGTCTAAGTGTAGGCTCTGCACACACTAAGTGCTAAAGTTTCTCCTCTAAGAGGAACTCGCAGCTCAGGGAGGAAATCATTTGAGTAAGTGCGGGCGCGGCCCACTCGGCTGATTCACCCCTTTATACTTACTTTTACTGCAGCACACTTCCAGCCAGAAATTTCATAATAACCTAAATGCAGATTAACACTGAAAGGTGCATATTAAATTTTTTTTTTTTTTTTAAAGAGCTTTCTATAAGACCCTGAGCTACGTTTAAACCCTCAGTATGAAGCATATGTTGAGAAAATCCAAGTCTGACATCAGGTTTAAAGGCAATCATGCAGCAAACTCTTTCACGAGTGGATACAGGTACCAAAACTATTTTTAGATAATGTTACTCTGACCTGTCCCTTTTTAATATCCTAGAGTCAAAATTTTCCCTCTAATCATGTAGAAGTTGACTTCAGAAGCTTCTTTGTGGCGTATCTAAACTTATTTTCAAAATAATTTGCAAACAGGGCTGTGGGAGTGTAGAAATAGTGGGTTTTATTAACCGATACTGAATTTTGGCTCAGAAGACTGACTATAAGATATCCATGCTGATAAAGGCTTCATTGCATATTTTCTGTTTTTTTATGGTTAAATTGCCTCATGTTATGGTTAAAAACAAAAATGAGACACAGGAGCTCTGGAGGGATGCTTTAGTTTACTATTTAACTTCCTTGCGGTAAGAATGCTGAAAACCTGGAAGTCTTTGAAACTGAACCTTGATGGTTAAAAATCTGTTTAATAATATTAATAGGCTGGAAAATGAAAAAAATTTAGTTGGTAAGTGAGTTCAGAGGGGAAAAAAACTCCACTAATTTTGTTGCTTGTATCCATTTCTGAAGGATTTATCTGCAGCACTATTAAGGAATGTTTGTCCTAAATATGGTCCACATCTGGCACCGATTCCACCTTACACAAGGCAGATGTCAAAGGAGCATCACCCTAACTCCACCATGTCTCCCAGGCCACACCTGGCCCACAAAGCAGCTGCTATAACTAGCCAAAAGCAGGCCTGATCAGGCACGAATGTGGCCGCTATCTGACTTTGATGCGACAGAGAAGTTACCCTGACGCGGGCAGCAGCGGGTTTTATCTACAGATAGAAACCTGAAACACTATAATGCTGCTGCCTCTTTTAAACATGCAAAGAACAGCATGATCTCACTTCCTCATAGCAGAGGCGCTAATCTCCATATCACACATTTCAGCTGAAGCACAAGTGCAACTGAAAGCAGCTCCAGGTGAGTCAACTTCCCACAGTTAAGGCAAAGAATTCAGAAGCACCAGAAATGTTGCATAGATTCCCCTGGAAGTCCTCCGGAGCAGCCTTCATCAGCACAGAGTGGGTTTAAGACAGGAAATTAAATACTTGAGGTTAAACACACCGCATTAACTGAGACGTACTGTACAGTATGAACAGCGACACATCAGAGTTTAGCCGGTTATCTTTGGTTGGTTTGAGTAGATCAGTATAAACAGAACGGTGAATGGTGGCCGGCACGCTGCTGGTTTCCAGGAGACTTAAAACAATTTAAAAGCTCAGAGGAAGAAGTGATCACCGCTGCATCTTCATCTCCCTCTTATCATTTTTGTAGCTTCAAAAGTCAGCATCCTCCTCGAAGCGAAACCTTTTTGCGTGTGAGTGGGATGACTCCAGGAAGTTTTCCTTGTCTTCAAAGTCTTCGTGAGGGGCCGCCCACTTTGTGCCACAGCTCCTGGTACGGAAGGCGGTGGCGGCGGGTTCCGGGCTCATGCAGATTTGCGGCTGCTGCCACAGCCAGGGGTGACTCATACAGTCGACGGCGCTGGGCCGGTCCCTACGGTCAAAACAGAGACAGTCCAACGATTAGACACATTCATGCAAAGAGATCGAGGTGCTGGTGTTTCACTGAACAATCTGATCTTTCCTTCAACCAGATTTCTTCCTTTATAGATTAACACCAGCAGGTTCTTCTTGACATACTAGTTCTGATGAGATCATACTTAGCCCAGCATGCTGCCTAATGAGTGTGAATCCATCACACACCAGTGGAAACACTTTAAAACAACACATGACGTGACTTGGAAAAACATCCATCACGGTTCTGTTCACAGCTATGTTTTCATTTTCATCTCTCTGTTACATGGAAGTTATGTTAAAACACCCACACTCGCACACTCGCACACAGACTCTCGCACACAGATTGTCGTTTACTCACTCAGGTGCTTTGACCAGCAGCTTGCGGATGAAGTCCACAGCGAGCTCAGACACCCTGGAGAAGGCCTCCCTGCTGTAGTCCACATTGACCTGGGAAACATTCAGATACGTCTCCTGCTTGTCGTCCCCAGCAAACGGAGACTCGCCCGTCACCAGCATGTACGCGATGACGCCCACGCTCCTGAGAAACACACACAGGACATATCAGACATGGAGAGTCTGAAGGCTAAATGACACAAGCAAAATATCTGAAATAATCTTAGAAAAACAAATAAGAAGAACAACATGTTCTCATCGCATTTGCCACAAAAGAAGTGGGAAGCATTACATTAATACCCACACTGCCGAAAATCGCCTTCACTTTCATTTCCAGTTTGTGATGTTTTTCTAATGAAGCTGCATATGTTTTAGATTTATGTTCACAGTGACCAATTCTTTTAAATCAACCCAAGTAAATACTTTACGTTTTAAATTCACTTACAGCTCCACAAATGTGAGGAAATGTGAGGCTGGAATGAGCTTTAAAATTTGTGGCTTGCTTTACATTTTCCAGACTTAACCGTATTTTTATACTTTTTTTTCCAACCTCACCTATGGCCATTCATACTACACCAAAGTCAAAGTAATAGAGCAGTAATAGATAGACAATAAAATGTCAAAAAGTGTTTTGGTTTTTCACCATCTACTTTGGAAATGTATTATTTTCACAGTGGGTTTACCATAGAAAAAGAAACTCCAAAAAGAAGACATTCTGTCAGTTGACAAAAATGTTGTTTTATAAATGGTAGGACAGTCTGCAAAAGTGCTAACAGAACTTTATCTGTAAATTTAAACATTTATTTCTTACAATTTAAGCTTAAAGCAGCATTCCTTTCCCATGTGGAAAAACTGAGATATATTCCTTAAATTGAACTTCTTTCCTTATTTTAAAATATGTCAGGGATTACACATGTGGTTAAACTTTACTAAATTGTACTCTGACAAAAAGCAGAGTTTCACTGGTCTGGCACACTTGAGATCAAAGTGGGTTGCATGTGGCCCACGATGTAAAATGACTTCCTGTGCTGTGGTCACTGGTCACCACATCGCTGAGAGTCACTTCCAGCACGTATGCAGCTTAAGCTCAGCTTTTATTCTCCTGGTGGTGGAGTTCATGTTACTTTCTCTTCATGCTGGAAGTGGCAAAGTACAAGTGGTGATACCGCTCCTTCCAAAAGGTTAAACCAAAGCCCATTTAGTACAGATATACTCACCAAAGGTCACTCGCCGTTGTGATTGGCTCGTAGTTGAGGATCTCTGGAGCTGAATACAAAAAAAAAAGAAAAAAAAAAGTAAAAGCTGTCAGTCAACAGTGAGAAGAGAAAAGATCTCTGTGTAATTTCCCAGATTAATTACTGACTCATGGTTCTTTCTGCATTTATTTATAGGTGTGTCACTCATCCACTCTCACAGGAGCTAACACAGTAAAATGCACATGTTGGGTAAGAATTGATCAAATGCATGATCTCTTCTTAGTCAACATTGACAATTTACATATAGTTTATTATTGTGAATCTGACTGATGTTTGTCTATAAATATGTGTGAAATGTCCGCTGCCGCCTTTGTTTCATGAGCGTCAGCTTACCCACGTATTCAGGTGTGCCAAGAATCTCTCGGAGCTCTCCGACCGCACCCAGTCTGCGTGCCAGGCCAAAGTCCACGATCTTTATGTCTCCTGGAGGCGACAGGCTGGTCAGGAGGATGTTCTGTGGCTGAGAGAGGCAGAGAGGGAACAAAGTGAAAGCAGGAAGTGCTCGAGGGATAAAACTCATTTCTGATTGCAAAATTCACCTCATGATGAATGTCTCTGCACAGGAAACAGTTATTTAATTAAATAAACGACTCTTATGATATTGCGCCATTCTCTTTAAAACAGTCTGAGAACATTTAGTGCTGTATGTGACTGTCCTGTAATCACAGGGTATTCACAGGTATAAATAAGACTTATTGATTTAACTTGAAATGAAATTTAAGACCAAATCTGCACACATGAAAGCTGAAAATATGCTCGTTTAAAGTAAATGCACTGAGGTCAGCCAGTATAAGTTCTCCTTTTTCTGTTGTGTCAGTTCAGTTTGGCTGTTTGAGAAGTTAATTTGCTGTATCACTGTTTTTTATTACTTTGATCAGGTCTGGGATTAGCCGATGTCTTTTAAAAGGCTCAAATTGCTTGTAAAAAAGAAAAAAGTGAAATGAAACTCACTTTCTACAACATTATCTGTCTTATTCAGGCCACACCAGCTTGGTCCCTCACACTCACCCAAACTGATTTTAGGACAATACAATACTTCTTTTTAAAGGACCTGTGGGTCAAATGACAAGTATTCCTGACAGTGATGACAGTTTTATGTTGACATGTAAAATTCCCACCCTCATGAGTAAAATAACACATTTAACAAAGGCATTTGCTAAGATTTGGTATTTAGTCAAGATCTTGAATTTTTGAGACAAAAAACCCCACACATTTAATGTGGCCCAGGAGAGTCAGAGGTGTGTGACGATCCTGGTATCAACATGTAGATTTAATTTTGTAGTCCTATACAAAAAAAAAAAAAAATCAGCTGATTCTTAGGGGCTCAGGTGGTGGACACTCGATTTGACCCTGATGTAGCGGCAACAAAACTCTTCACACCCTGCTGTCACTGCAGCAGAAGTCAGTTCCATGCTCTCTACAATCCTGATTCTAGGCTTAACTGTGGCATTAAAAAAGGAATTTAGGATTTTGAGCGCTTAGAGAAGGGAAACACCCGAGTACTTAAGGTTAAGTCTGTGGTGAGTTGAGTAAACGGTTAAAAATAGATTCACTTTGGTTGGATGTGTCTGAATACCTTGAGGTCTAAGTGGACCAAGTTGCTCTGATGGAGGTAGTGGACTCCCTCCAGCGTCTGCCTGATCAGGCGCGTGATCTGGGCCTCGGGCAGCAGCTCGTCGGATACGCAGTGGTCAAATATCTCTCCACCGGCCGCACTGCATGAACAGGAGACAAGAAGGAATGTCTGGTGAAATATGAAACACAGACCAGTTTGATACAGACTGTGTGTGTGTGTTAGAGTTTCCACAGGAGAAAACAAAAATGCATTTATGGATTAAAGGGTGGTGCAGTGGTTTTAGTCTCCAGCCCACAGCCAGAGGGACGCAGGTTTGATCCTGCATGTTGTGGTAAGGTTTTATTGAGAAAGAGAACCTCCTTCCTGCTTAGTCATTGCAAAAAAACCAAAAAAAACCAAAAACACTGCAGGCACACAAATGAAGACTGAAGCGCTAAAATGTACAAGTAGAAAGTTTTACTACACCTCAGATAACTCAAGCTTCTAACTGCCATTTCTGAATTTGAATTTATATCCTTGTTGCTGTAATCGCAAGCAAAATGTCGGTACGAGTTAAGAACAAGCCTAAAGCTGAAGAGAAAACTCTGGTTTGTTTTTCGCAAGTTTCACTCGGTTGACAGTAGTTAGCACTCTGTCAGTAGTAGCTGCAAGCTGCATAGACTCCACACATACAAAAGTACGTGACGAGCTTGACTATTGTATGGGCATGCCATGCATCCAGAGGGGGACACACACTGAGCATCTGTAAACACTGTAAGTTTTGTATGTAGAGCTTTATGTTCAGCCATGTGTTTACTGCGAGCTTTTAGCTTTTACTACAAATCATATGATTCTTTTTGACTTACCCTGTAGTTTAATCTGCCCGGCAGTATATAAAGTAATGAAAGATTTAAAACTTAAACCTCAATAAAACTTAATTTGCTGAAAAATTGGACCACATTTAAAAGAAAAAAAAAGTAGTAAATCAAAATAAGTCCCATGTATTTTTATTTACTTAGTTTTGTAAGTATGTCAAATCTAGGCCTCATTTCTACTTTCTTGTTATTATTATATTTCATTTAATTAAAGTGTTGCACCTAATTTTAGTTTCTAGCTCAGTTAGCTGTAAATAACCATTGCATGTGCAATGGCAGCTGGCTGATGCAGCGTCTTCACACTCAGGTATGAAATAAAGATATATTGATAAAGAATAAGGGAACTGCACGAGACTGAATGAAATAATTCAGGTGAGGAATGCATCTATGATCCAGAACAAGGAATTCTAATGGAAAAGTAAACAGATGAGAGATAAATCAGTAAAAATAGCCGGACGGAGAAAGACTTTCAATAAGAATTCAAAACATGCTAACAAAAGTAGAGGTGGAGAAACTGAGAAAGCAGAAACTAGACAGCAGGATGCGGGTAAAGACATTTCTAAACAGGTGCACTACATAGCAAGTTTTTGCCACGCATGATCGATTACTGCTCCTGTTCTAGAAACTTTGAGTTTGTTTATACTGAGATGCAGGAAATGCTGGGATTTATTTTCCATAAAAACGAGCCAACTTGAATTTCACCTGCTTGCCGGCAGATTTCCTCTCTGACTCCTTCCTCCTGCTTCACCTGAAGCAGCTGATTGATGCTGGGTTTCATTCATACAGTCGATATTAAAGCTCATATTAGAGCACATTAATCTGCATCTTTCTAAGACAGCTGTGACTACACACGCCATTTAACAAAATCAGCCCACAATGACTCTGTGCGGTGTTCTGTAACAGAAACCTACAATTTCCTTGTTATTTGTGGCTGTTACAGAATAGGTTCAATGTAAATCCTGCATGACAAAATAAGAAAGAACTGAGCTACGTCTTTGGCAAAGATAAAAACAAAAACAATCCTCACAATCTGTTTTATACATTATGACTCATAGATCCAAAACGTTATCACTCCGGTTTGTAGCGGAGCTTTGTCATGCTGGAAAATGCAGATTGTCAACAAATTGCTCCTGGAAGAAGTTGGTCAGTAGTCTTTAAAACATATAATCTAATGTATTAACTGTATCACAGAAAGTCTTTACTTTGAAGGCACAGTGTCTCTGTTTCCAGTTTGCATCACACTTTTCATGACTGCTTAGCAGGGAGTTTCCTATGGAAACAAATACCAACCACAGCAATCGGCAAGCGACTAAAGCAATTTCAGGGATGTATTTGGTGCAGCACTCAGCAGCTTCCAGACTGCTTGCTGAACAGCTGGGGGGATACAGATTTTTCCCTAGTAACCAGTGGTTGCTACTCAGTCTCTGGGTCGATTGGCACTGAGGCCTGAGAAAGAAACTTGTCCATACTTCTATTATCACTGCATCAAAATGGAGGCTTTGCTATTTATTTAGCCATTGCCATGGGAAATCTGAGTATCAAAGATCCAGGCGGCGATGGATCTATCTGATTTTAAGATAAGATAAGATAAGATAACCTTTATTAGTCCCACACGTGGGAAAGTTGTCAGAAGTTAGAAGTTTGTTAGAAATTTGTTTCAAGCACAATCTCAGGTTGAATACAGACTCAACCTCAGGAGTTTCTACTTTCTGAGTTTAAAGTTGGCTTCGAATACTGCTGAAGCTGCTTTCTGGAACAAGGACCAGGCCATTATTTTCCAGACTGTCTTAGATCAACAAAGTGAGCTGTTTACCATGTTTGCACTTTGGAGGGGATTAAGGTGTCTCCAATGACAATTACAGGTGTGGTTAGAAAAAACAGAGCAGTTCATTTCAACAAGCCCTCATGTATTCTCATATCTAATCTTCCAGTTTCAGTTTTGATTGTACAAAGTGACAAGACAAATGGTGGCACAGACAAAGGACGTGACATTCATTTGAAAAGGGCTTTTAAATAGGAAAGGTTAAGAGGTCAAGACTAAGAGGACGGTGGTTCAGGTCACCTTCAGCTCAAGCTTCCAGCATGTTGCTGTAGCTTTCAACCTATTCCTGATAAACCTGTTATGAAGGATGAGCTGTTTGCTAATTTGGCAGCTCCTTAGGACTTGACAAACAGGACTTCGCCCTCATACAAGCGTTTACAGGATCTCACTGCTGGCTTGGCGTATTTGAGGAAAATAGAAGCACTCAAGTAAAATGTATGAATTAAATAGGATGCAGCATATATAAAATAAAACAGGCAGAAAGTTTGTGTGAACTCACTATTCCAGCACTAAGACAATGTCGTGATCCGTCTCGTAAGCGGCATGCAGGTTGACCACTCGGGGGTTGTTACGTGCCATCTCCAGGACAGCCATCTCATGGATGACCTCTGCCCGGCAGTCGCGACCTCGTCTCCTCTTTTTTAGGAATTTGGCAGCGAACGCTTTTGCTGTGGTTTTCTCCACACACCGCTTCACCACAGCAAACTTGCCCCTGAGAGGAAAAAAAAGCAGGACAAGAATACACAAACTGAAGCTGAGTTTTAATTTATTTTTTTACAGTTATATTGATTAAACAGGAAATGCCTGAGTAAAGCTTTTATAAAGTTTAAGTAAAAACCTCCATAGTCAAAAATCAAAACCAATTGAAAAAACTGCAGTTCCTCTAATACCCACTGGAGGCTTCCATGTTAAAATGTCCAACTTTACAGCAGAAATAAACATGTTTACAGCCTGCTACACAGACAAGTGGCCTCTGTAGTTATTTCTACTCTTTTATGATAACCCTACAGGGTTTGAATTTTGTGGGGTGTGAGGTTGACAGATGGATTAGTGCTGCCCTCGCAGTCATGTAGGCTCTGTATAGGACATTTACCATCCTATGTTTCAACACTCACCATTGGTAATGAACTCTGGGAATGAACAAGGTCATGGATAAAACCGACCCAAAAACATTTTGTCTGTTGGGTGTCTGGGTTCTGCTGTAGCGATAAGGTGAGATTTTTCTTTCTAATTCTTGCTGTAGTAAAGATGTCAGTAAATGTATTTTTTTTCCTGGCTAACATATCCAGGACATGAATTACCATGCATTTAGGTCAAGGCCATTATGTTCTGAAATTCTGCTCATGCGAGGTGTAAGTATAACTAAATCCAGCTTTTTAAACCTTATTATGGGGTAATATCAATTTGATTAAACACATTTTGTTAGGTTCCATTTATTAATATTGGAGTTGTAACCATTTATTTAGATTTATTCATCTGGCTCTAAATAACCACCTGGATTTGATTTAGAGTTGTTTCTAGAAGAACTTGGTTAGGATTTTTTTAGTCTTCTCCTTAGCACAAATGCCAGAAACCAATGGGTCAAGTCATGGTTATTACACCATCTTATACATATACATATACATATAAGTGTATATAAACAGGCTTTTTTCCAGGCTACAAATTGGCCTTTGGCATCAACTTAAGAGAAATCTTTACTTTTCTTTCCTTTTATTTTTGTCCATTGCGTAAAAAAATGTTTCAGATATTTTTACAAATTGTCTATCAAAGTGCTGGTGATTTTCCTTTGATGTAAAACGAAAGCTTCTTTGGTTGTTTCCATCATTTTTTTTTCTGTGCAGGAAAAACCCTGATAGATGTTGTGGTTTGAGCCATTATCCACTGTAAGATTAATTTAGATGGCTAAATATCTCCAACATGATTCACCGCAAACTTTCCCCAATATAAGTCAAATATAACTAATGATTAATATGTTTCATTTTATGCAGAAAATGCTGATTAGTATGTGGTCCAGCCTTTACAACATAATATCTGTAAGTGACTTTGTGATAAAGGTGTTATACAAATACAGAAATGGCATTAGATAACAGGTTCTGTGTGCGGGAGTGTTATCTAATGCTAGTACAGTTCCAACAGCCTACTGCCATGCCTTGTCACCGTGGTAACCATTTGTTTAGGTCATTAAACTTCATTTTAGAGCTATTTTAATATTTAATACGTATTTTAAACTTTGTTTAAAGTTCACCCTGTTACCAGCTGTGCAGATAACAGCCCTAATTTCAGCTCTCTAGGAAAACCTAACTTTTCTAGGTTACAGACCCAGAAGGAGTTCTTTGAATTGTGCTAAAACATCCTGCATCCTATCATGTGATAGCATATAAGCCTCCACCATGTTAAACCTTCATGTCTTCTTGTACATATTCTTTTCCTGCTTAAAGGAAATTTGCTTTGCTTTGTTAGCGAGGGAGTTCAATTATTTAAGTAGAATAGATATTTATGTATATTAAATGGTCAGAAGTAGTTTGGTTTAGTTTAATAAGCAGGAAAATGAAAAGATTTCTGGTGAAAAGCCGACTCTGAGGCAGGAAAAGTCTCTACAACTCAACTACCTGTTTCTTTTATTTGGCTGCACCTTGTAAACAACAGTGTTGCTCCTGAAACAGGGATATTCCCTCTCAATGACATCATACAGAGCCAAGGGCAGAAAGACCGGCCTGAAACAGAGTTCAGAGCAGTCCGAAGCCTGAGCTTTCAGCTGACAAGATTACTGACCTCAATATTTGAAACTTTAACCATGTTTAATGCGAACATCCACCAATGGAAGAGGAGATGTAACAGAATAAGCTCCCTCTGAAGACACTTGCCAAAAAGGTGTTTTGTTGGGGGGTTGTTTTTTTTTTTAAGATCAAGATCTTATCTCACGTTACAGTCATTTCAAATACACAGACAAATGATGATTGATGTGTTTTTAATTAATTCCATGAACAGCAACAACCAACAGAAGCATTTAAGCTTCATTCTGACAAATAAATAAATAAGTAAGGACACACAGTGAAAGGTCCTTGTTTAGGGATTTAGTTATAGCTGGGAAATTACCTTAAATTCAAAAGTAGAGCTACTACAGTTTAAGATTAACACCTTTGTGCCAGCCATGTTCTCATCACTGAGTTTTAACACATTTCACATCAGAACTTCCTGTTTTAACAAATTGCAAACAAAGTGGCGAGCAGAAGTAACCCAAGCCGGTTCTGCTTTCTTAAGTCTGCTTTCCACATGTACTTGTTTCCTTCCTCCTGCAGACTAACACTAGCTACACTTTAATGCTCTGCGTGACGCATAATGACTTCAAACACACCTCGGGCTTGTCAGGATATGATCATCAGCTGCCTGCGGTTGCCATGGCCCGTACACAAACACATGATAAAGGTCTCCTTTTATACCAAGGCTTCATATTTTCCCACTGTACAATAAAGTCACCTCCCCGGTCAGAGGCTGGAGTGTTAAGACTTAGAGTCCAGAGTCCAATCACCATTAACTTAGTGCATTACACTGCATGACTCGATCTGAGCTATTCAGCCAGCACATGCAAAAAGTTAGGGTCAGTGTATCAGCATGAATACACAGATAAGTGACATCAGCTGTCCTTCAAATGTGTGTTGTTGCAGCTCCTTCTTGAGCTATCTTATTTTATTTTACGGAGCTGTTTTTACTTCATATAATCTAGTTTGTTACGGGCTATGTTTAATATTTTGCTAACCTGGTAATTTTCCAAATTTGGGGATTTTTAAAAAATTTTTCTATCTGAACAGTCATGCAAGACCTCCTCTTTCATGTGACAAGGTAGTACATTTGCTCAACTCTTCCTGTTTATTAACACTCAATGCTAAAAAAAAAAACATTTTCTGTAGAGTATGTGCAGAAAAGAAGTAAATATAATTTTTTTCTCAGTTTTCATGCTGTATAGTCTTAACCTCTGTAATTTAACCTCTTGCCTCTCTCTACCTGCTTATTAAATGACAACCCTGTTTTATGTTTTAACTATCCAATTATCATTCTTGGTCTCTACTCCTTCATATTAGCACTAATACACTAATAATTAGTCTCCTGGACAAACGAATCACTCTTGGGCCAACAAAGATTTCAGTGTGCATGTTAATATTAGGATTAGGATTTTTTCATAGTGAGTAAACCACACAGTGGCATATTAATGACTAACCTCACGTTGAGAACCAATCATTTCTGATGTTTTCTTGGCTCAGAATTGGTCAGTTTTTGGGGTCTTCTTCCTGCCATGTATGGCATTTGTCTCCACCCATCTGGGTCCCTCAACATGACAACAATTAAATCCTCATCCCAAACCTTTCCTCTGCTAATGTTTATATTCTGTCTCAGTTTATGCCTCAAGTTAAAGCAGAACAGGACATTTTAGGTTTATTTTTTAAGGTAACTACAAAGTAAATGTGGTCAGGGGCAATATATACAGTATTTTACTGGAATGCAACTTCACATAAACATAAATAGAAGTTTTTTAAGGTCTTATGTAACAGTCTTTGTGGATTTGTGCATTTCCTTGTTGTGTTGTAGTAAATGTTAAAAACTGTTAAAAACTGTTAACTGTTATTGTAGGTGTGGTTTCAACAGGAATGCTTTTTGAGTCACAACTCATCTGAAACATGCTGAATTTTTCAAAGTGTGGAAAATTGTCATAGTAAGTGGGACAAGTTTACCCTTATAAAGCCATCAATATTTAACGGTTAAACTACACCCCACCATCACTGGCACAACAGATATATCAGAAGGAAACTGCAGACATGATGTAAGAGTTCTTTTGCACAAACTGTAATTAAAGGCGGAACTTTCTGGAAATCTGCACCTGCCAGTTAAGAGCAGATTAGAGCTATTAAACCTTTCTGCACAGAGGTTAAAATCCAGCCACTGGTTGTGAATATGAATTCCTGCAATAAATCATAAGAATCTTAATAAGGTATGATTACTTGTAAAAGTTGAGAAATACTTCATGCGGTGAAAGTCCTGGGAATTCTTGTTAAGATTGGCTTAGATTATTTTAGCTGTTGCATAGGCCAGTGGTGACAGAGGCCATTACCAGCCTACCAAAGGGCCCTTGTCTAACACCGTTTGATGGCTAAAAGCTTAGATTTTCCTGTTCACTGTCATTTCTTTTGTGGAGATACAGGTTCACTCCACACTGTGAAAATGTCTTAAAAGTTAAATTACTCAGAAAAACTCAAGTGTGACAGATTTAACCCGTTCCATGGTGGTGTGTAAATTTTAAAATACATCTAATGACAGTTGAGTCAGTAAATACAGAATACTGAGATCTATTTGATCATCTCTTAGGCTGTTTAACCGTTTTCCAAATTAAATACTACTTCCTGTAGTCTGGTACAGAAAGGGCATGGGGAAAAGGTTGCAGCCTCTTTTGAACCTTTGTCCTAAACCAGCTGAACGTTTTCAGACTGTTTTTCATTGCAGTTAAAAAGAAAGGGGAATATTTACTGGCGTGTTTTTAGAGATCAAACAGGACTTTTTAGTCCCATGGACTAAAATGAGTGTGATATTTTTACTACTTTAGTTTTTACTCACTGTAACACAACTTCAGGGTTTTTCCTGCTCAAAACACAGCCTTTGGGGGTTGACTACACTGTGTGTTACCTTTTAAAAATAAGTTTATGACTTTACTGTTATTTTTGCCTCTTTGCTGAGCACCAAGTATTTTATATTCACAAAAAACTGAATGACAAGCTTGACACTAAATTTTTCCAAAACTCTGGTATTGTAAGGAGTAATTGTAAGGAGTCCTGAAACAGTCTTAGAAGAGCAGAGGATGCACCAAGTTTCAGATTTTTAATATATAGGTGTATCGTCTTGGTTAATTTCATTCAAAAACATAATGTTTTGACATGAAAATGTTATGTTTATGAACAGCATTTTGTTGCTGTATAAGATTAACCATAATTCATGTAGCAATCACAAATTTCAATAAATAACTTTTTTTTTTTGCTTAAAGTGGGCAAAATATTTGCTGTACGTAGATTGTAAACGAAAACCCCTTTGAAAGCCTGCAACACATTTTACTCACATGCACCTGGAGAGACTAAACAGACTAAAAACCTCTTTTCTCAAGAATACATTAATGATTCGGTACAAAGCTCATGTGTACTTAGGTGAAACTGCACAATTAGCCCAGTATTTGGTCATGCACACTTTCGACTAGGTAGAGTGTTGTTTGTGCTCTATAACAGCAATAACTTTGTGTCTTTTAAAGAACATCAGACTTTAAATACCTTCAGATACAAAGTTTTATATTAGTTTTATATTATATTATATAATATAATATATATTAGCTTTATATCAGCCAGGGATATATATCAGCCTAATAGTGTCAAACATCCCTCAAAATCTATATTCTATCTATGCAGGAATCACTATTTTACAGCCTATCTGTTAGTAGAAAAGTAATCTCATAGCATACTGGATGCACAGATTGAGAGCGCATTTACCTGAGAAAGCATTGTTACAAGCATGCTCTTTATTTTAATCAATATAAATAGATACATAAGCAATACAATGCTCCAAACCTAATATTCCCAGTCAGCCCTTGCATTAAAGGTTATTCCCAGTAAGGACCTTTTTTCTTTTTCTTTCTGGGAAAAGGGTGCTTGATGTGTAGTGATCGTTAGTGAAGAGGTACTGTTTAATCCTAAATTAAGCTTGGTGAATATTTAGTAGGAGGTTTATGTGATCTTTAAAAATGTCAGGTGTCTACTTCTCCTTTTTTGGAAACCAGACTGTGTAAAGTTCACTTATGAAAGACACAAACAAGAAGCAAGTTACATGCATACATGTGCCTTCTTGCTCTGCTTTATCTTCAAAGCAATGACAGTCAAATAAAGAAATGCTTGGAAAAACACTGACGTGCACCTACTAGGAAATGTAAGCACACGCCATGTTTTTAACACTTGATTTCTTAGTTCTTCTTATTTCTACACCACTGAAAAGAACACTAATAACAGATGTAGCCGGTAGGCTATATATATTGTCCCCGTCTCCAACTGATTCAGCTCCACTGTCACAACAGGCATGGGAAATCTTTCACAGCTCCTACAGTGCGACGCATCTGTCCACCAGAGAAACATCCGTCCTATCATCTGACATTTACTTTGGTGATTTTGAGATATTTGACTTTCCCTATATCAGTAGCCGTGTATTTACATGTCTACAGTAAAGCTGATACCTTCTATGGCACTGGACGGTGCGTTCCTGTACCTGTACTTCACAAATGTAGTACTAAATAAATACAACAAAAGACTTATAAGTAGTAACCCTTTCTTAGTAAGTGATAGTAATACAGAAACTGAGTTTCATCTGTAAATATCTGACTGTATAGTGTCAGGTACAGCTCCCAGGTGTCATATACAGCAGGTGCACTCTCTGGCGGACTCACCTGCCCAGCTCCCCGGTGATCTCGTACACACTCTCCAGCGGCTCCGTGCTGATCGGAGTCTGAATCTCGCCGAGCAGTCCGGCGGAGAGTCCGCTACGACTGTCCAGCCGCCTCCGAGACATCTTCCTCTCCTCCTCGGTGCTGCTTCCCGGCTGAAAACGGTGCCAAACGCCGAGCAGAAGTGAGAGAAACGGTGAAAATGAGCTAAACTAACGTTACCACTGCTCGTTTCGCCGTAGTTACATGTTAATGTTAGCTCAGCCGGTCACCGCGCGCCGCTCCAGCTCCCCGGCTAGCTCAACTGTCGCTAAGTTAGCTCGACGGCACTTAAAAAGTGACTTAAACCGATTTTCCTCAGCTCAAGAAAAGCGAAGCTTGGGTCTATAAAGTCCGCACTCATGGGCTGTTAACACAAAACCTATCCGAGCTGCCGCTGCGGTCGGCTGTTAGTCTGCTCATTGAGTTTGTCCGCACAGTTTGCGATCATTTTCACATCCCTGTTTGACAACGTCGTCGACGCGTCAGTGCGCATGCGCACTGCTTTTGTGTTCAGTTGAAAGGTTTGAATTTGGACACGGCCGAGATATGGCAGCCTATTCATGTCATTAAAGGAGCGGGTTCGAAGTTCAGAAAACACATAAATGAATAAAAAATAATAATAATAATGAATCTTAATACTCAAAAGTTGGACTGTCAAAGTCCAACTTATGAGAGTTAATTTAATTTACAATATTTGTGAAATAACAAGCTTAATGTTTGTTTGTTTTTTATTATAAATATAAGACATATGGTATATACAGTGGGGCAAAAAAGTATTTAGTCAGCCACCGATTGTGCAAGTTCCCCCACTTAAAATGATGACAGAGGTCAGTAATTTGCACCAGAGGTACA